AGAATGTATTTAACACAATAGTTCTATTAGCATCTAGCATCAACAGGGAAAAAAATGGCTACTACATGAACTTGTTTTGTGAAAGAAATGCCAAATTTGTCAATATATTCACAGATGAATAGTTTGATAATATTTCATTATGATATTTTATGTTTGAAAAGTTGGGAGGTTGCGTCAAAGCATAGCTCAGTAGCTTAGTACATGTCAGATACATAAAAGTAGTTTCATTTGTCTGTGTACAAGGTTTTATTTTTTCAAATTTGCATCCTGTTTTTTCCCATTTCTCAAAAATGAACGTCATCTCAAATCATTCCAAACATATTTTTCCTTTTATTTCTTATTTTATTAAATAAATAATCTAATTGAAATTGTAATATAATAAAATATACCTAATTGAAAAATGACTTATTTTACTGTTTTACCATTTACATAGTAAAACATAATTTAACATTACTGATAATCTAATCACAATTGGGAATAATGAGACTTACAAAAAGCTCAAACGTCTTAATGCATTATGGTAATAAGAATTTTGGGGAAAATGTACTTAATTTAAATTAACAATGCAAAAAAAAAAAAGAATTTCTTTTAATTTTATGGTGAAGACATTTTTTTTCTCTTGCACACTGTCAGAAAAAAAATTGCACCAAAAAAAAATTTAGGGGTACAACAGCTTTTCACTAGGGCTGTCCCCTCAAAAGGACATCTTTGCAACTTCTTTACCCCTAAAGGGTGCATATTGGTACATTAGAGCAGTAATATGTACTCTTATGGTACTATTATGAACCCTCTGGGGTAAACAATGTACAAAGATGTCCCTTTAAAGGTACTGCCCCACTGACAAGCTGTTGTTCCCCTGAAGGTACAGTTTTGGACATTATTTGTGAGAGTGCAGATAAATGCTCTGTGCTGCATGTGTGAGAGTTAGTTCAGGAGGAGCCTCTGAGCAGCTTTCATTAGTGGTGTGTCTGGAGGCTACAGCAGGTCTGAGTTCAAATAGCCCGTCTGCTCTGATAACTCTCTCCAGCTGCTGGGTAATGGTTAGTTTCCTCCCATTAGAGAGGAAAACCTCTAAACAGCAAACAGCTCATTAAAAAGCCATATCACTTACCTACTGTTAGAACCGCAAACATCATTCATCACATGGAGCGAAGTGAAGACTTTAAATACTCATCTGCAGGCTCGGCCTCGAGGACACGACATGCACGAGAGAACACAGCCGCTCTGTAATCAACTCTACAGTACAGCTAATGACCAGAGTTATTAACCTTTCCCTGCACTGGACAATCCTTCACACTCAACACAACCACACATATCAACAAGAGAATGCTAGAACGACAGACAGACAGACAGTCAGATAATAGATAGATAGATAGATAGATAGATAGATAGATAGATAGATAGATAGATAGATAGATAGATAGACAGACAGACAGATAGATAGATAGATAGATAGATAGATATAAATACTGAAAGATGGATAGACAGAACACAGACAGATAGAAATACCGAAAGATGGATAGACAGAACATAGACAGAAATACTGAAAGATGGATAGACAGAACAGACAGATAGATAGATAGATAGA